GGGGTGCTGAGGGGGCTGCAGCACCCCCATCTGCAAGGCTCCACTAGCACCCCCCCCAGCGCGTCACAGTTTCGCCGCTGAGAGAGTGTGTGTGTGTGAGGAGCTCCACGGATTGGTCCATTGGGTCGTCGTTACGTCACTTGGTTCCCGGAAGAAAAAAATAGAAAAAGAGAAATCTCCAACGAGGCGTTCTGGGACAGCATAGACAGGTATTTTCCGTGTTAGAGTTTTACTCGCTACAGGGTGTACTTTGAGGGGTTTTGACTCTGCAGACCGTTTACATGCTGAACAAGCTGCACACAAGGGGACGGGTAATAACCGGAAAAGCATGTCATGGGACCTTTAAGATTTGTCAGGATTTGACACCTGAAAACCCATGTTAAATACAACAACATTCAATCATCCTTCCTTTTCTTTTCCTTTGGATCAATGTCCTCTGCTCTGCTGAAACATCAGAGTTTAAATGTGTGTGTGGTAGTGAGGGGGAGTTGTGTATTGGGCAAAGTGCAAAAGTTTCCGGGACCCTCGCTGCAGCAATGATGGGGGAGGTCCGGAAGAAGAAGCATTGTTTTGACAACTCTCCTCTCCCCTGGGGCTCAGAGCTTCTGTTGGTGTCTGTGGTTTTCCTTCTTGGGACTGAACTGGCCTTGAACCACGAAACAAGTGTTGACCACCAACCACGGGGGTTTTCTTTGTAAGTTTCTATTTCCTGGTTGTGTTAGTGTGTGTCAAGGAAGGTCAGCGGTTTTCCCATCGTTAATCAACCCAACTGATCAAGGTGAGCTGTTATCAGTTGAAAGGCAGTAGCAGAAAAAAGTGTCTCTTTGCTTTTTCTTTGTCATCACTTATGTTAATACAGCCCCTTCCCATTTAAAGATTTTCTCCTTTCCAGGCCAAGGTTAAGGCCACAAACCGGCGGTGATAAGATAAGGCTGTGGGGAGCTTGATATCGTTAGCGTGACGGCGGCACATGGTGCAGTCCCCACAGCCCGAGGCTTTTCAACAAAGAGAGCTCTGGATCTGGCTGCCCTGGGTGCTGACTGACAGGTTTACACAGGAGGCTCAGGGGGAACCTTGTCAACATAATTAGTTAACCAGACTACTATGAGCGGCTTTGTGTTTGCTAGGATCGTGTGTTTGCGCTAACTAAAGTCAATGTTGTGTAGTATTATTACCTGCAGAAATATGACTACAGTGTTTTAGAGCTTCAACAACACATTTCTCTTAGTTTTTAGATTCATTGTTGTGAAAAATCCCCATAAGAAGGCGCCCTCTTGAAATTGCTGGTTTTATTTAACACACTAGGGCTTCAAGATTTAAAAAATGTCAATTATTCTGACTGCAATCATTTACATGGGATTTACGGTAGTGAGGGTCTTTCATAATAGTAGTTGAAAGATATTCTTAAAATGATACCTAAAATATATATTTTATTCATTTTGTGGACACAATTTGTTGGTCTTTACATCTATGCAGCACCACAATCCCTAATCAAGATTAATTATTACACATCCTATTGAGATTCCTGCCACAAGGCATTAACAGATAAAAACTGCAGATCTGCTTAGACTGTAAACGGAGATTAAAGAATTAAAACCATTGTTTTGTGATCAGAATAGCTGCGATAGTGTCACCTCTACAAAGTTTCCAGACCTCCCAAAGGATTTGGTGTTGCTTGTGCTTATCTACTGGTGATAAGCAGCTTATTTAATGTGCTCAACCATGCAAGTAAACAAAGGGGATTTCCCTTTGGGCCATTATCGGGGCATTTCTTGTTCCTTGTTTTGGCCAGCCAGCTTGGCATTGTTCAAAGGTCTCCGGGCTAAACACAGATTTTTAGATGGCACAAAGAATAGTGGACCAACTTCAAATGAGAGAAAAGAACGAAGTGTTTACAGTCACCCTGTAATTTGCATGGGTTTTATTCAAGGTAATTGCTTGGTATGGCACTAATCTTTGAGACATTGGATTATTTCTACATGTGCCTGTAGAGCCTGACCTAAAGGGGACGTGTGTGTGTGTGTGTGTGTGTGTGTGTGTGTGTGTGTGTGTGTGTGTGTGTGTGTGTGTGTGTGTGTGTGTGTGTGTGTGTGTGTGTGTGTGTGTGTGTGTGTGTGTGTGTGGGAACTCCCTCACAAGCTGTCACCCTGACTCCGCCTCCAAATATTTAAATCAGCCGCTCTTTTTTTTGTATTTTCTTTTTTGCCCCGGCCCTTCCCACTCTTTCCTGCCCAACACAATGAGGCAGGATCCTCCTTGTTGCTATGACTTCACTCCAGAGTCTGTATGAAATGCAACCGCTGACTGTTTGGACATCAGGACAGAGACAGAGACACATCCCGGTTCAAAGAGAAGCTCGGCAGGACGCAGACCAGGACCCTGTCAGCTGGAACGCTTTGAAAACCGTATGAAGTTCAAAACAGTTATCTTCATCCTGGAATTCTAACCCAGCGTTTGTCTCTCACGCTTTTGGGACTGTTTCTGCGACAAAGGTCCGGACGGCGTGGATGTGTGTGCTTTCTCACTGGATTTGGGGAGAGAGAGGAGGCTAGAAGTTGAGAGCGCAGCAGCTGGTTCCAGAATGGGCTGCGATCCATGAATCCAATTGAAGGATTAGGATGGTTTTTGTTACTTTTGACATGCCTCTGGCTTCAATGGTGAGCACTGTTAATGTGGTGGGAAACTATCCGTGTGTTAATTACAACTTCCTGGCCTTGTCTTTTGAGAATCTAGTGTGTAGATATTTGCTTTCTTTTTGCATACTTAATTATTTAATCTATGTTTGTCAGATTGTATTCGTGGTATTTGTTTTTAAATCTAAAGAGGTGAAAGCAGGCTCTTTGCTGAGAGCCGTCACGAAACTCAAACAAACCGGGTTTCAGTTGGTTCGCTGTCAAGAGTACAGGGTCCAGATTTGTTTCCACTGTTTGTCCATGGAGACTGAACACTTCCTGACACCTGTGTCCTTGCCCAGTTGGCCCAGAATCCCCCCTAAAAAAAATCCCTTAAATCACTTGTTTCCCTTTCGCTACAACTACTTTAAAACTTGCCCCATTTCCCCTTTCACCTTTTGTTTTAAAGCCAACATTTCGATTTGTAGTTAAGTCACTCTCCTCTTTGGACATCATCATTTAAAAAGATAAAGGGACTGAAAAGCTGAAAACCTTTAAGACCCCCCACTCAGATTTATTATCTTGTTATGCAACTGAATGGCCCACTTGTATGCCTTTACTCTAGTTAAGTGGTTTAACAAAGGGCTCGACTTGCTCTTCCTAAAATGGAATTAATTGGCTCGAGCTGTTCATAATATTTACATTTTTGTTTGTTGAATATACATGCCGCACATTTTATACTTGGATAATTATTTATCTGAATTGTAATGGAAGGTGTTTACTTTGAGTAGCTCAACCTCGGAAGACCTTTATCCAGTCGGTTTGTAGGTGCAGTTTGTACCCATTTAGTCAAAGTTTGACAGTCAGCGTTCTTGTTTTTGTTAAAGTTACAGTGTTAGTTTGACGTTCCCTATAAACAGAGACTTTCCAACTACCAAAACTCAGATAGTATTCAGTGGGAAAGTTGATAAAAAATGTGTCATGAAACCAGATGCTTACAGCACTCATTTTCATTACGTTTTACCAGCAGCAGCGAGTGATGGCGGACTTTATTTTGCCCCGAGTTTTACCTCCCAGGCTCTGTAGAGTCTACTGGGCTGCCCTCTGATTGGTGGAGATGGCACATGTAGACCGAGAGCTGCAGGGATGGAAAATGTTGTTTACCGTCAACATTCAGGCTCAAGGTTACAATAGCTGCTATTAGCATAACACCCCTGGATCTCCGATCAAACTTTCCACAGTTGAGTTTTGTTGTAGGTAACGTAGGGGCCGGGTTTTTTCGCAAAGCAGTGAGTTGAGTAAAAAAACAAGTCTGTGTAATTCAGCTTCATTGATTTCTTGATTAAAAAAGACTCGCCATCTTGAGCCCGACAATGTTATAGAAGTGCAACGCTTAATCAAGATTCTATGTGGTTAGACTTTTAATAATACATCATGTAGAAATCATTTCAAAATACTTTATTCGTTAACTTCATTTGAAAAGAAAGGCTCGACATATTCTGCTGTAGGCTGGAAACCCACCTGTTTCCGCTGCACTGTACCAATTAAAACCTGACAAAAGTTGTAGTCCTTTAAAATGTTGGGTTATTCATTAATTGAAGCTTATTAGTTTAACATGTGTGCTGTTCTGAATTGGTATCCTCATGGTTGATTGCATTTATTCTGCTGAGATAACAGTGTCAGCTGACTGTAATGGAAAGCTAATATTGTCATGTGTTTTTGCTGCATCTGCAGGAATGTCTTGTTTTGTTGGGGACATACCAACTTTGGACATAAGTGTTTTTCCTGCATTGTGTTTGTATGTGCGTACGTCGAGGGGGGGGGATGATCAGTGAAAGAGTTTAGTGTCAGTGTCCTGGAATGTGAGTTCCTTGTCGCTGTTTGAAGGGGGGTCAGCGGCCGGACTCCCCACCAGCAGATTCCTCTCTAACGGCAAAAACAACTGCTTCCTCAGATACTGCGGTGGCCCCTGTTTGTTTGCTTTGCTGCAGCTCGTAAAGTGGACAGAGATTGTCTGAGCGAGGCAGGGCCCGCTGACAGGGTAACAATGGAGGGGGACAATGGCCAGACTCAGCGCTCTGTTCTTATGGAACAACCTCCTTGTGATGTAATGAGCGTTCACGGCGAGGAAGTGGCCGTCCTTCCCTCTCCTGTTTGTGTCGGATCATCAGGATAGCTCTAACGGTCCGCTGATGTCATCCCTGCACAGAATTCCCCTCTGATTTCCTGTTGATCCTGTCCTTGTGTATTTCTCTCTTTCCTTCATTGTCTCATTCTCTCCGACTGACTGGAAACGTTCGTCCTTGCTCTTAACGTTGACAAGTTCCCTCGTGCCAAGTCTTTCATTTTCTGTTTGTTTTAAATGTCTCTCTGTCTGTGCTCTTGCAGGGTCAGGCTCGACGGAGAAAGAACATGACCGAGTTCCTGGGAGAAGCGAATATTCCCATCCCCGAGGCTCTGGGGGGGTTGGGCTCCCTGCCCGGCATCGGGGCCGGGCCTGACAGCTGGAAGAACCGAGCCGCCAGCCGCTTCAGTGGCTTCTTCAGCTCCAGCGCTGGGACGGGGGCCTTCGGAAAGGTAACGATCAGACAGAGAAGATGACACATCATATTGACCTTTCCTGAGTTCAGAGCACTTCACGCAAACTGATATTGCTGCGGACAAATGTGTTATCATGCATACTTGGAACATGAACAAATTCAGGGTGGAAATAAAACAATAAGAACAAAATTGTGAATTAGATTCACACTGGCTTTGATTTTAATTTGACATCTCCATTGGAAAGCCTTTTCAACATATTTATTCCCAGCCTCGACAAATACTGCGAAAACAATGTTATTCCAACTGTTGAAATATAAATTGGTTTTAATGGCTGCTGTGGTTTATTTCTACATACATTTATTGTATACTAGCGTAGGATCACAGGGAAATATAGCATTTTCTTCTGCCTGTTGTATAAGTTGATATGAGGCACGATTGCTTCCCAGACTAATCTCAGAATAAAATAAAAAAGCATTAAACGGTAGCGAGCTGCAGTGGGAGGGGGTCGGAGGCCGTTTCCCTTGAGGTCCTGATGATGAGGTAGTTTCCCTTGGAGGTCTCGTGTTGTTTGCTCTCACACTTTCCTCTGGAAGTGAGGAGGAGCAGGAAAGGCCTCGCTCAATTCATCCATGGTTCGATTTTGAAAACACAATAGTGTGACGTTTTGGAAACACCTTTGCATGCTATTTGGAAGTTAGATGACGAGATACTTCTCTTCCAATGTTAGCTAGCTGAATTTTACTTAAAGACTTGATTTGTTTTAAATAGGACGTAGCTAACATGTTAAATATAGAAAAAAGCACACATAAGTAATAACACAATAAAAAATAAGGACACATAAGTCGTCACCCATGGCTTACAAATGTGTAGCAGCATTTAAATAGCTACGTGGAAATGTCAAACCTTTCCTTACATTTCTGTATCAAATGCTTAAAACAATAATCATCACCTTCCTTCTGATAAAGCACACACACACACACACACACACACACACACACACACACACACACACACACACTCCGATTGTCTCCCTGCCCTGAGGTCACATCCTGCACAGTAACAGATGTCAGGCAGAGACAGTATCTGTCACTCACCTGTCACTGCGTGCCTCATCTCTATTCACTCCCCCCCCGTCCCCCTTCACCCCTCCAGGACCAGAGACCCTTCCCCAGGACCTGGACCTCTCACTCCATCCATATTGTAGAGATGAACCACTGTCAGCACGGCCTTTCACTAAAAAACGTTGAAAAGAAGTGCTAATCACTGATCACTGTTGTACAATTTCTCTCTATTAATAGTACTTCTTCCAAGGGGTTCATGACCTA